TTGTCATGACGTTTGCTGAAGCGTTTCAGTTAGTGTTTACTTTCTGCCCAATTCTTGAACTTTCGGCATGAGAGCGTTTGCTGAGGCTCGTGTGTTCAGTGTGTCATGATGCTGGACGTAACAAAGTGTCTGAATGCATTCATGCATAAAACCCTCTGTACATTAGTACACTACACGAGATAGTCCACAGACTGCTGTGTGTGTGTGTGTGTGTTTGTGTTTGTGTTTGTGTTTGTTTGTGTGTGTGTGTGTGTGTGTGTGTGTTTGAATACTGAGAGAATATGACACACAGAGATCAGGTGACTGTTGAGGGTCATTGCTGTTAGTCATTTTCTGTTACAGCTCTGTGGTTCGGGGGTTTTTTCATAATGCTGTGGGGAGTCCATTTTTGTTACGCCCTGAATATTTCCATTTGTGGTGCTTTGTCCTGTGACTCTGACACTGGACGGCACAACAGTTTCTACTAGTCCTGCAGATAAAAGTACTGCCTCGCTGTTTGCTGTCTACATAGGCAGCTACCTTCTTAATAGAAATGAGACTGACTGAATTTTAAAACACAGATCAATCTTAAAGTATTTATTATATATAGTCATGCTCTGTTAAGGAATACTGTAGATTCTGTGAATCATCAACGTTAAAGTAAAATAGATAGATAGATAAATAAATAAATAAATAAAAATTTAATATAGCAAATAGTTCCATGGCCTAGAAGTTACAAATAGTACATTTATTTATAATTTTTATTATAATATTGTAAATACTATAAATTTATATAAATTTACAATATTTGCAATATTACAAAAAAATATAAATAAATGTACTGTTTGTAATTATAAGTATGTATAGAAAATATTTATTTTTAGTGTTAATTTTGTATTAACATAGCTGTGTAGGATAAATATACCCACATAGAATATTTGTTATATATAATAACAGAATATGTTATATTGAATTTAATATGAATAAAAAAGACACTTTTGAGGAACCGTATGAATTCATATGTGCTTTTGGCATCTATAATAATAAAGCGCAGAAAATTAATAGCTCACACGAATGGGGAGAAATAGATTATTTTTTTATAATTTTCGTTCTTTTTTCTTTTTTATATATATATTATTTTCCTATCAAGGAATTTCAGTACTAAATAATATGTATTTCTAATAAATATTTTTCTGTTGTATCACTGAGTCAGGTATCTCGGGAGACAAATTTTGACATTTCTAAATTAACTAGTTTTATTTCAGGCAGACAAGAAATATAAAGTGGCTGTTAAAAATAGAAGCGCACACATCCGGCACTGTGTTAGATATCGGCCAAAGCGATTGATCTTATGAGGCAGCATAATTTTGCTGCCAAGTATTTGGAACGGCCTCGGTGTCTGGAGCTCGCCTGTGGTGCTTAAAAATGCTGTGTAGGTAGGCAGCTCGGTTGGGTTTGGAACGAAGCCATTCTCTCCTGTCAGATGTCTTTGAGGGAGCAAATAGGAGACCAAAGTGACGTTTTGTTGCACTAAATGAAATGAGAATGGCAGCGGAATATACGGTCGCTCCGGTTCGCTCCTGAGTGCCACTGACATTTCCAGCGGATGACGACACAGATGGTACTGAAGCCGGTGATTAGTCTCTGCATGTCTCTGCATTTACGGCCATTTCAACAGTAAATGTCAATTATCATTGCGCTTCTATTCGTCAGCTAACCTTGACTTCTGAGTATGAGCTCTCTTTATCTTTTCACTGCCCGTCTATATGACAGTGTGAGTTCGTTGGAGAGTTTGAAGAGTTCACCCCAAACTGAAAGTTCATTTACTTACCCTCGTGTTGTTCCAAACTTGATTTTATACTTTCTGTGGAGCACAAAAGGTGAATGTTTGAAGCACATAGCATTCTTTGCGATGAGAAAAAAAAAAAAAGCCACTTTTATGGAAAAAGAATCATGAAATTATTGACCAAAACTCATGAATCGCTGTTTTGAGTTAGATCTTTTTAATGAATCATGTGAGTGAGTGATTCAGTTACGAATTGTATTGATAATGGTTAATGAGTTCAATTCACTGACTCGATCCAATCGACAAAAGTGAATATATGAAGCATATCTAGTCTTTCATGTCAATAAAATGAGAGTACATGAGAAGTGGGCCTGTCAAGCGCCGAAAAAAACTTTTTTTTATGGGAAAATGGTGTCATAAAAGTGGTCCATGGGACTGTATTCAAAGTTTTCTGAAGTCATTAAATAGATTTGTGTGAGAAACTGACTAAAACTCATGAACGAATCACTGTTTTGAGTCAGATCGTGAGTGATTCTGTCACAAATTGTACTGATATGGTTAATGAGTTCAACTCACTGACTCAATCCAATTGACAAAAGTGAATTTATGAAGAACGTCGTAGCCTTTCTTTTCAATAAAATGAGAGTGAATGAGAAGCTGGCCTGTCAAGCACCAAAAAAATATCATAAAAGTGGTCCATATGACTATTCAAAACTTTCTGAAGTCATTCAATAGTTTTGTCTGAGGAATAGAGCGAAACTCATGAACGAATCAGTGTTTTGAGTCGGTTCTTTTTGATGAATCAGTATGTGAATGATTCATACTGATATGGCTTTTAAGTTCAACTCACTGATTCAATCTGATTGCAATGGGAAGCTTATAAACAAATAATTCAGACTGGTTTTGTGAAGAAATTCAAAGAAATGCTGGACTCAAAATGATTTATTCAGGAATCATATTAATTTGGTTCTCTCAATGACTCAACTGTGAACCTCTGTGACCAGAACACTGAGTCAGTTAGTTTTACAAATCATTCAGACTGGTTTTGTGAATTGAATCAACAGAATAATTGAAGAGATTGCCTCATGTCAATTGTGAATCGGACTAATTTGATTCTCAAACTCACTTACTTGACTGTTAACCTCTGTGACCAAATCACTGAATCAGTCAGTTTGAGAACCAGATTGCTCAGTTTTGTGGTCCATATGACTGTATGCAAAGTTTTCTGAAGTCATTCAATAGATTTGTTTGAGGAACAGACCAAAACCCATGAACGAATCACTGTTTTGAGTCAAATCTTTTTGATGAATCAGTAAATAAATGATTCATACTGATACGGTTCTTAAGTTCAACTCACTGATTCGATCGGATCACAATAAGAAGATTTTGAGTGAATATCAACCTAAATTTCAGTCTGTTTCTCATCGTATGACTTCCTTAATAGTCTAGTAAGTCTCACTGCACATTCTCCCGTCTGTCTCTCGCTCCAGGGGCGGCACTGGTCTCCACGGTCGTCTGTCTCAGCCTGTGCTGCTGATTCAGGCAGCTTGTGCTCCACCACAGACTGCGTTTCCTGCTGTGTGTCTGAATCTCTGCTGTTCTTCATGTGGAGGACATGCATCTGCTCTGGAGTTGTTCTCAAACTGATGTTGAATTAGGAGATTTTTCTCTCGGAGCTCCAGCAGCTCTTGCAGTATTAACAAAACAAGAGAAATAAACATTAAGGACACAGTCTGCAGCGTTTAGAGTGTTTAATCTGAGTGTTTGTAATCTTTAGATTTCTGTTCTTTGCTTACTAAATTGTTCCGATGTTAAATGTTTTAAACTAAATGTTTTTTTTAATATACTTTGAAGTACCATTGTATATGAACATGGTAACCATGCAGTACTATGGTATATATGGAAGTACCATAGTTTTACCATTTTATACCACTGTAGTGCTTTTTTTAGTTAAATGACATCTGAAATTTTGTCATAGAATTTTGAGACCATTATTGTCACTTTTATTGAAAGGTACAGCAGAGAATGGACAGGAAATTGTATGGAAACAGGAAATGACACAAGCTGAACTTGAATGTGTGTTGCCAGCCTGAGCAGAATTGCGTAACTTTCGAACTGACCTGACGGTGTTTTTACTATCAGTACCCTTCTTTTTTTTTTTTAATAAGCCAAGAATTTTTTCAACCAATAATGCACTAATACTATGGTATACTAAATATACTAAAATACCTCCTTGCATATTATAAATGCAGCTGTTCAGAACAATTGTAACTATGTTTATACTATAGTAACTCAAGTGTAACTTTAGTGTCTATTTATGTTAAAAACATTTATTATTATTATTATTATCATTATTATTATTATTATTCAACTTTATTATCCAAAGGCAATGATCCACAGTGTCAATCCCATTCCATAAACTTGGCTAAACTGCATGTGATGCATTTAAATTGAAAAAGAAATGTGAATATTTATTTATTTATTTATTTATTTGTTCGTACATTCATTTGTTTGTTTGTTCGTTCATTTATTTTTACTATCATTATTGAACAAAGCATGTTTTTTTAAAAAGGGACTAGTCCCCAGATTATTTGTTTGTTTGTTTGTTTGTTTGTTTATATTTATTCAATCGTTCAGTTATTGTTACTATTATTAATTGAACAAAGCATTTTTTTTTAAAGGGAGTAGTCTGCAGATTGATCCACAGTGTCAATCCCATTCCATAAACTTGGCTAAACTGCATGTGATGCATTTAAATTGAAAAAGAAATGTGAATATTTATTTATTTATTTATTTATTTGTTCGTACATTCATTTGTTTGTTTGTTCGTTCATTTATTTTTACTATCATTATTGAACAAAGCATGTTTTTTTTAAAAGGGACTAGTCCCCAGATTATTTGTTTGTTTGTTTGTTTATATTTATTCAATCGTTCATTTATTGTTACTATTATTAATTGAACAAAGCATTTTTTTTTAAAGGGAGTAGTCCGCAGATTGATTATTTATTTATTTATTTATTTTCACCAAATTTTTGTTCATATGGCATAGTTCCCGAGAGCTCACCACTAAGCTACAGTTTGTCTGCATATTCTGCCTTTAGCGCAGAAATCAATATTATGGTCTGATGTAGGGAGAGTTCGGAAAGGAGGCGTAGTTCAGCTAGAAATCGCCCACCTATGCTGCTTATTCCTGGCCCATGCTGTTTCTAAAACAAATAAAAGTCTATTTCTGATTCACTCAGCGTACAATAATCCCGCTCATGTGGAACCGAGGCTTTTCCAGTGAGGACTCATTTGAGGGAAGAGGGATTGTATTGCTCTCCGTCTGAGAGGTAATTAATTTCAATTCCATTCATTTGTCTCTTTGCCTGACATTTTAAGCACTGACACTGATGTGGAGTTTATATGGATTAATACCCGGCTCATTCCCGTTGTGGCATTAACCTGCTTTTGTGTATTATCTGAGAAAAACAGACCCGAACGCGAGCGCGGCTGACCCACATCATTACCCTGAACATGAACAAATGTTTACAGGTAATCTCAAGTTAATGTGACATCTGATATTCATTTACACGAGTGCGGCCTGTTTACTGTCCTTCACGAGGAACCACAAAACAAAAGACCATTGTAATATTTAATAAAGATGCTTGTGTTATCAGTACACACACCATTTTACTGTCTAAATGAGAAAACTGAGCAAATGTAAGGACTGAAAGCTCTTCCCACAGTAAAAACGCATGGCAGGTAAAATTTAAAGGCATAGCTTACCCAAAAATGCTAATTCTGGCTTCATTTATGCCAAAAAGGACTCGAAGACATCATAAGCATTGTCCATATGACTTATAAAATCTTCAGTCAGATTGATTAGTTGGATTGATAAATTGTCAAAAATCCGATTAATTTGGTTCTCAAACTCGACTTTGAACCACTGTGACCAGATCATTGAGTCACCAAATCGGTCTAATTCATTTTATGAATCATTCAAGCTGGTTTTGTGAACCGAATCAACAGATTTATTGAAAAGCTTGACTTAAAAGAATGATTTGTTCACAAATCAAGACTGATTCGGTTCTCAGTTGGTCATCAAACTCATACTCAACTGTCAACCGCTGGCCCAATTAGTTAGATTCATTAACAAATCACTTAGGCCGATTTTGTGTTTCAAATCAAAATTTTCTTGGAAAATCTTGACTCAATGAATGATTTGTTCATAAATCAGGTTATCAAACTTGCTGACTCGACTCTGAACCATTGTTACAAGATCATTTAGTCAACTGGTTTGAAAATTGAATCGATCTGATTTGTGAACATCATGAATCAGATCGGAATATACGGCCAAAAACATTGTTAGCTAACTATGGTGGTAAGTTCCATTGAACTCTATTGGTAACGACGGAACTTGCGACCATAGTTGCTTTTGGGAAACGCACCCCAGATTGGGTTTTGTAAACGGAATCAACAGATTAATTGAAAAGATTGACTCAAAAGAATGAATTGTTCACAAATCGGACTTATTTACTTGACTTGACTGTTAACCATTGTCTCCAGATTCATGAATGAATCATTCAGGCAGGTTTTGCATATCAAATCAAAATTTTCATGGAAAAGATTGACTCAAAAGAATGATTTGTTCACAAATTAGATTAATTTGGTTATCAAACTTGCTGACTCGACTGTGGCCAGATCATTAGTTCGAGAACCAAATCGGTCTGACTCATTTTACAAATAATTCAGACTGGTTTTGTGAATTGAATAATCAACAGATTTCTTGAAAAGATTGAATCAAAAGAATGATTTGTTCATGAATTTGACTTGTTAGATTCTCAAACTCACTTACTTGACTGTTGCTACTGTGACCAGATCATTGAGTCAGATTTGCGAAAGAATCATTCAGACCAATTTTGTGAATTGAATCAGCTGATTAGTTGAAAAGATCAACTCAGAAGATTTGTTTACCAATTGAATGTTGCTACTTCTCTCGATAATGTGTGGGACATAATTACTTCAGTTTCATTCTGTTTCTCACACAGAATGACATTGAATTGTAAGACTTTCTCGTATGATTTCAGAAGACGTGAAATATAGTCTTTAAGGCATATGAATTATAATACTTAATGATACTTTTAAGAAGCTTGGATACTTTGAAAGATTCATTCTCCATTCATTGTAATTGTAGAAAAGCAGTTCCCAAAATATCTATTTTAGCCATATGGATTAGACACAACCTGAGGGTGAATAAATACTGCCAGAATTTTCGTTTTTGTTTGAACTGTCCCTTTAATTTTGAAAAGACCACGCTGAGACTCTCAGCTCTGACCAGGGGTAGGTTAATCATTATTCCCATTTTTTTCAATGGAACTTGTTTATTTATTCTGAAACAGCCTTGTTGGGTTTTTCCAAGGTCTGTGTGGATGAATAGAGGCTCTCGATGGGAGAGCATGAGTGGGCCAAACCCCTCTGGGTGTTGAGAGGCTCCTCAAACAGAGACCAACAAAAGCTTAATCAAGCATCATTCTCCAGCCCAAATACCACAGCACTCATACGTCTTTTTTGTACAACACATGCGTCTGCACGAACACTCAGGGTTATTTTGAAAAGAAAAAAAAACTGTACTATAGTTTTTATTTGCCTTTCATTTGTGGTCAATTTCAGTTTAGTTTTGGTGGTGCATAAAAAGCTTTTAGTTTCATTTGGATGCAGTATAGTCTTAGTTTTCAACCACAAACTGTTCCATCTGCCCATGATGACACATACTTTATCAGAAGCTGCTCTTTCTTCTCAAAATAGTACCGTTGAAGTTTAATTTGTTGAACTCAAATAAACACATGCTGTAGTATATGCTGAGCAAATTGCACTGTAGCATGACTCCTGGGGCATTTATGATTCAGCGGCACTGTTGCGTACAGGTTTGAGACACAAAGCCTCAACCTCGGCCCTGGCAAAATATTAATAGTTTTATTCTGCAAGGATGTATTAAATTGATCAAAAGTGAAATATATATATTACAATAAATAACAAATATATATATATATATATATATATAAAATTAAGACATTTTCTCTGTAATTATGTTTTATTTGTATTGTCATTCACATTTACAGTTTCAGTTTAGTTTTCATTCCATTATAAACTCCCATTTCTTTCTCCTGTATTTTTCACTGCTAGTTTTTTGTCTTGTGTTTACGATAATGTGCTGCACTGTTGCGTGCAGGTTTGAGACACAAAGCCTCAACCTCGGCCCTGGCTCTCTTTTATTAAGCTCTGTTGTGCTGCAGTGTCTGCTGTTGATGGATGGTGTGCTGCTCTGGCTGTAGCTGCAGTGTACGGCGCTGGCTTCTGAAGGTGCGTGAATCTCTCTCTCTGTGTCTAAACGCCCCCTTATTTCAAAGCGGCTTTCAAAAGCAGCGTCTTTGTCGTATGTTATTATGATTTCACTGGTGAAGGCCGACAGCGTCAGCCCGCCGCCCCGTGAGCGTGTGTGTACGGCTATCAAAGGACGCAGCAGTGTTGGTCACAGCACCCAGGAGCATAGCTGGTCACCAGCAGATGTTGTTTTGGATGCAGATCCCCAGCTTGCATTGTCAGTGTTTTGACCAGGCCTATTATTGCTGTCAATGCTCATGAAGACAACATAACATCAAAATGTTTGGCTTTTTCTTTCTTAATCCATATGCTTGCTTATTATAAATGATTCGTCATAATGTTCCAAAGAAAAAAAAACGATTTTATAATGCTTCAAACGACTTTCCTTTTAGATGACATCATCAAGGCCGCTTATATTTCAGCCAATAGGTGCCCATTATGTTCCAGGAGTGGGGTTGTTCCTCAAAATTAATGCTAAATTGCCATTTTGATGACTGTTTTTATCAGGTCTATTTTTGCTGTCTTTAACAGAGCCTTCAATGCTTATGAAGTCATGCTTAAATTATAATTTGTATTTTTCTTTTTTTAATGTATTTGTAATGACTTATCTTTCAGCTGACATCATCAAGGCCGCATACATTTCAACCAATAGGTGCCCTCGATGTTTCAGTAGGGGGTTGGTTCTTCACAATTAATGGTAAACGCCCATTTTCACTACCTAATCATGAATAAAATAAAGTCCTGTCCATTGTTTTTTCTCATTGAATATCCTTTTTCATTTGGAAATGTCATAGTACGCAAGTACAATGAGTCGCTATGTTGATTTTCATGTCAGTTCTGTTAATGAAGTTTCTGTTAAACCAGGTTCTGACAGTGCAAGTCATTAACATTCTCACTGTTAACTGCTGTACGCGAACAGTTAATTAGCTGACTCATTGGCTACCTTTTGTTCAGTAGTTGAAGTAATACCTGGATTATATGTCTTTTAATTGAGGGTAGGCCCTTGAAATGACTATATGAGGCCTTGAGGGTTGAATAACAAAGAGTTGCTCTGTGAGCAAACCTTTCATAATGCCATATGTCAAAGCAACAGCAACGATAGCAGAAAATTCAAAACTGAAGAATTGGTTTTCACTTCACGAGTCTGAATTTGAATTAAATTAACCATGCCCAACAAAAAGTTTACTTGAAATTTCAGACAAGGTTCTCCTTCAAAGTTTGCCTTGACTAGTTAAAAATAACTAAATGACTCAGTCAAGCATAACCTCTCTTCCTAATGCCGTAACTGCATGTTCCCAGTTTATTTTCAGTGGCAGAGAGGCGGCACGAAGAGCATGGCTTATCAAGCTTGTGCAAAAGTCCTGCCTCTTTCTCATGCAAGACTTTGAATAAGGCTTATCTATTCATGTCATTGGCATCAATCAGAAGTTGATTTCACAACCAATCAGACGACATTTAACTTAGTTATATGTTTTCCAAGAATACACAGAAAATTACATAATACTTGGTTTCCAAACTTTTTTTTTTTTTGGAGAAATCATGAATTTTATAGATATACATAGGCCATTTTATTTCATTTTCAGCTTTATTAGGTCATAAGCACAACATGTATTGTATAAAATGCCCCTTATGCACATGACACATGGTTAATTCTTCATTTTCAATCTTTTTACACTCAGGTATATCTCAGATCTCTGGATATTTGGCAGTTCACCTTGGATGACCACCCTTCATTTGAAGCTGAAAACCGAGCTGTTCTAAAAAAAAACAAAAGCAATCCTCGCCAAGATCTCGCCATCTCTACAGACAGCTCAATCATCTCTCCCTCACTGAAAGCCAAGAACCTTGGCATTACACGGGATGAGGATCTGGCACATGTACCGGTATACTAGCCCTGACTTTCCTGTCCTGTTAAGACCCTAGTCATCTAGAAGATCCCAAATATATTCACTCAAATGTATTTTGAATTGAAAAAACATGGCTCCCTCTCAATTCATTAATGTGAATTTGAATTGAATTGGCCACATCCTACAGGAATTGGAATGATAGGAATAGAAATTTAAAGAAATTTAACACAGATAATGCATTTTGGAAAATCTATCCATGATTTGTTTGTTCTGTCTATCGCTTGTTCTTTTGTTCACCTTTTCTATCTATTGTTTGTTCTATCGTTTCTTCTATCATTCATTGTTTGTTCTCTCTATCGTTTGTTTTTTCTATCGATCATTTGTTCTATTGTTTGTTTTGTTCTATCTATCATTTGTTCTGTCATTCATTGTTCTACCATTCATTCTATTGTTCATTTTTTTAGCTATCATTTGTTTTTTTGTCATTGTTCTATCTATCGTTCACTTTTTCTATCTATCGTTTGTTCGATCTTCTTTGTTCTATCATTCATCGTTTGTTCTATCTATCGTTCGTTCTATAGTTAATTTTTCTATCTATCCTTTGTTCAGTCATTTGTTCTGTCGTTCATTGTTCTATCCATCATTTGTTTTATCTATATATTATTATCTATTGTTTTATCTATCTATCTATCTATCTATCTATCTATCTATGTTTGTTCGTTCGTTCATTCTATCCATCGTTTATTCTGTCATTCTATCATTTTGTCTATCTATCTATCTGTCTGTCTGTCTGTCTATCTATCTATCTATCTATCTATCGATTGTTTGTTTGTTTGTTTGTTTGTTTGTTTGTTTGTTTGTTCTATCCATTGTTTATTCTGTCATTCTATCGTTTTGTCTGTCTATCTATCTATCTATCTATCTATCTATCTATCTATCGATTGTTTGTTTGTTTGTTTGTTTGTTTGTTCGTTTGTTCTATCCATTGTTTATTCTGTCATTCTATCATTTTGTCTGTCTATCTATCTATCTGTCTGTCTATCTATCTATCTATCTATCTATCTATCTATCGATCTATCATCTGTCTGTCTGTCTGTCTGTCTGTCTGTCTGTCTGTCTGTCTGTCTGTTGTTCGTTCATTCGTTCTGTCATTCTATCATCTATCTATTTATCTGTCTGTCTGTCTGTCTGTATGTCTGTTGTTCTATCATTTGAATTGCAATACTGCATCCTGTTTGCAACTTAAAATTAATTTAAACTTAGAAATCTAAATTGGAATCTACTAGTGCTGTCAAACGATTAATCGCGATTAATTGCAGGTTCACAGCCCTAATTAACCTGCTTCCTACTTCTGTTCTAGTGTTCTAGTCCTGGTATACAAGACAAATTTTCAGCACTCGTCATCTACCACAGCCTCACTGCAGTCTCAGCACATTTGTCTTCAGCACTCCCCTAAAGTTCAGGTATCATTCTACCTATCATTTTATCAATATGCATCTTCTAAATGCTGTGAATGTACAGTAAGTACATAAGAGATTATAGTGAAAGTTCAGGTTGTGGCAGCTGCGCTTGAGTTTCCCACATATCTTCGTTTCCACTGAAATAAGACGTGATTGTATAGCAGAAAATGCATTTACGGAGACGTGATTGTTGCGTTATGGAATTGCACAAGCATTAAGGAAGTGCCAAACTGTTCATTCCTTTTAAAGCAGGGTTCTGCTCCACAGAACTATTCATTTATTCATCATGTAATAAAGTCAGCCTCTTCTGTGAATGATTTGGCTTTAAAATTGTTCAGCAGAAAAGCAGACCTCTGACAGCTCCTGCTCTAGTGCCGCGTGCGTTGAGCTCCGTGCCAAAACTGGGAGATAACGAGCCCCCTGATGATCATTAGCTTGAATGACTGTATAATGAGCCTGGAAAATATGCAGAGGTCAGAGAGGAAAGCCTCTATTAAAAGCATTATTAAACCACAAGGGTCAAAGTTCAGGATGGTGAGAGTCGAGGAGTTTTCCGAGGTCCGTTTGGAGGAACTCGATGGTCAACTGTCACAAGCTGTGCTCCGATTCACAGTTCCTACACAGGGCTTGCTGTGTACATGCAGAGTACATATCTCTTGAAATTTTACTTTAAAATTATTTCTTACTATTTATTTATTTTCATTTTTTTTGGGAACAACCTGCAACATCATTTTGCAGACCAATTCCCAGAATGCTCAATATCACTTGACTTCCTGCTGCACTTTAATGAATAAAAATAAATAAACGTAATAAATTTACATTTGTATTTAATATAAACATTTAATACTTTAATATAGTTCATAGAAATGTTTATTTAATATATCTAAATAAAGAAATATGTACATTTTCAAATGCCTATTAAATTTTAAAGTGCAACATAAACCGGATCCAAACTCCGAATGCCCACATTGAGCATTTGAAACCACATTTCAGAACATTTGCAAGTTCCTATTTGAATATGAAATAAATATTTATATTAAAATATTAAATATTTATATTAAATAAATACACAGTTTAGTCATTCATAAATTCGTATTTTTATTGATTTATATTTATTTATCTCAAAATATGAAATATAAATTTTATATAATTTAATATAAATAAATTAACATTTTAATTTATTCAAATATGAAATAAATATTAAAATATTAAATAGTTATAGTAAAGAAATGCACATTTTATTCATTAATAAATTCTTATTTTTATTTATTTTTATTCTTCATCTGTCTTTATTAATATTATATTTTTGCATCTTATTTGTTCTAACATTCATTGTTTTTTTTATCTATCATTCATTCTATAGTTAATTTTCCTATCTATCTATCTATTTATCTATCTATCTGTCTGTCTGTCATTGTTGTTCTATAACTATATTTATTTATACTTATTCATATTTGAATATGAAATAAATATTTGTATTAAAATATGAAATATTTATAGTAAATAAGTACACAGTTCAGTTATTCATATATTATTATTTTTTATGTATTAATCTGAACATTTTAAATATATATCTTAAATGTATTTGAATTTTTTCCCCTATTTTATCTATTTTAAAGTTTTTCAAATATGAAATAAATATGAAAATATGAAATATTTATAGTAAACGTTTTAATCATATTTATCTGAAAATAATAAATATGTATATTAAATGCATTAAATATATTCATTATTTATATAAACACATTTTTATATTACAATAATAAATATTTATTCATTCCTCTTTTATTTATGTTTGTTTGTTTGTCACAAAAATGTTTATTTAGATTTTTTTGAAATAATATTTTAGTTAATGCAGATAGATCTTGGTGCTCATGTAGATGATCATGGTTCGATTCCAACGATTCCAGAAAGTTATTTCCAATCCCATTTTCTGTCCTTTGCATATGGCAAAAAGCCAAACAAGGG